TAATCAAATAAGAGTAATTCCTGCAGTCATGTAAGCTTCAAATCAAGAGAAATATTTTTCGAATTCTGTACAACAACAACAAAAACAAATCAATATTTCAAGAGCCGCTACGCACTGTGTGATGAAAACTAGACGGTGGTCCTTAATAAATAAAGTCACAGAAAGGTCTTTAATAAGAGGCCGCCTCTTATTAAAGATGTGGCTTCGGAGCCGAAGGTTTACGACCCCTGAACATGGCTAAAGGAGAAAAATGAATGGAACTAAACTATAAAGGCTCGCTGAGCTATGTAGCTCTTTTTCGGAAGGAACCTGGCTATCACAAATGACAGCTCACAAATGACAGCTCAACGAAGTGACTTATCACGTGGCAAAGAATAGCAGCCAAACACTCTGAACGCGTGGTGTTGATTATAAATGTGGAGGGAAAAACCGGAGGACCCGGAGAAAAATCCACGCGACCGCGGGGAGAGACACACGCAAACTCCAATTATACAGCAGCAGGCGTCAGGGTCAGGATCGAACCCACGAGCTCCTGTAGACCAGGCGAGGTAGTTGACATCTCGCCGCCACGGTTTTAGATGTCAGGAGTGAGATGTGTCCGGGTTTCAGGTCTGCGGTGGAAAAGAGATCAACCACGGATTTAAGTCACCTCCAATGAGAACGATTGGCTACGTAGGGTGCGAACAAAGTTCAACATACGTGTAATAAAAGACTTCGTCACACACTGCTGGCCTCCGTTGCTCTTTTATTTAGCTTCCTTCTCGCACCCCGCTGGTCCTGACAGCGGACCAGCGTCTCCTCGCGCGTGCCCCTCACTCGCTTCCTCGTCAGCTCCTCCGGCTCCCCCACTCCGCACACCGCTGGCCGACGGGCGTTCCGAAGCTCTTCCAGCCACGTGGCTGATGGCGCGGATCCCCTCCGGCCACCCAACGTGGTTCAGCTTCTTCACTCCAACAACTGACCCGGAGCCCTTCCAGGCTTCCACCTATATCCCCTTCACCACGTGATCCTGTCTCCTCCCCTTCCGGATCGTCACATCCGGCCTTCCCATAGCGCCCTGCTGGCTCCACCCCCGTTCACCTCGCTTCCGATTGGACCCGAGGTGAACGGCGGGCCCTCCCATACGCCCTCCATACTGGGCTCCGCCCCCCAATACCCCGGGCCGTATGATTGGGCCAGAGCCCAGCAGCGAACCCCGTTTACGCTCGCATGACATACGTAAGGCGCTGGGCGAGATGTTGGGGATATTTAAAAGCACCCGATAAACGCAAATCCACATTCCCCAAATCCGTATTCCCTTGTCCCCCACACGAGCCAGACGTCTTGCGGAAGCCACGCAGACTCTACCGCAACCGTGTGAAATGTACGCGGATGAATTAGTATGCCCCAACAGATTCCGTTCTCTGTTTGTTTTGAGTATTTTTTGCGGGGAGTAAATTGATTAATGCCGTGTTTGCCAAAGCGTAAACAATTGCGGTGGGCTGCCTTCTGTTCATGTATATGCTAATCAGTCATAATCATAAAGCCTACTCCACTTGTGGGGAGTGCACGTGGAAATGCCGTGCAACTTTTTCTCTGTTTGTTTTGTAATAATTGCTTTGTTTCAACATTGATTATCGCGGTATACACGATTAACACCGTACTAAAATCGTACAGACGGCGCATTACGGGCAACTCCGCGAGTGGCTACGCATGTGGCCTGCAAACCAGCACAGCGAGAGTTTGCGTGGGTCGCAGCACACATTCGGGGAAACTTCACTGCCTACCCACGGACGGCGTGTGGTTGCCGTGCCCTGTTGGCCAGGGTAAGTAAGGCAGTTGATTAAGCGGGTTCGTCCCCATCTGTATCGGGATTGAGTGCAACCCGCTCCCCAGTCCCTGCACACTCGTGGGCTTTTGTGGCGCCGCAGGTAACGAGATGTTAATTACCTCGCCTGGTGTACAGGAGGTCGTGGGTTCGATCCCAACCCTGACACCTGCTGCTGTATATTTGAAATTTGCGTATCTCTCTCTCATCATCATATTCACTGTGGCTTGGATATGTTAACTACCTCGCCTGGTGTACAGGAGGTTGTGGGTTCGATCCCGACCCTGACGCCTGCTGCTGTATATTTGAAGTTTGCGTGTCTCTCTCTCATCATTATCACGGTGGCTAGGAGATGTTAACTACTTCACCTGGTGTACAGGAGGTCGTGGGTTCGATCCCGACGCTGACGCCTGCTGCTGTATATTTGAAGTTTGCGTGTGTGTCTCTCTCTCCCCTCGAATGGCGTGTGGATTTTAGGGTCCACTTTTGGCAAGGCGCGGAACGAGCGCCGTTATAGCGCGGCACGTGCCCATCGTAACGGGGAACGTGTGCGGTTGTAACGGGGAATGCGTACCGTGATAACGCACGACACGCCGGTGGTTATAACGCTGTGTCTGAGCAGTCGACGAGAGGTTTGGGGACCCTGGGCACGCACGCTGGATGGCACGTAGCAACACAGTGTTGTCCCACGGTTGTTGCTCACATTAAATTATAATCACGAGGGTTATCGTGACCCCGTGTTACGCACAGATGGGCTGACAGACAGCGAATGCGTAAAAGCTTTTAACCTTAGTTGCTAAGCTCTAAATATATAAAGTGGTTGATCTACCGCAGGTAAGCCTGCATGTTGAATTTCGTTCGCATCGTTCGTAGCCACCCGCGCTAATCGGATGTGCGGGGTAAGGACAACAAAGACTAAATATAATTCATCATCATTATGAGCAGCAGCAGCGATGATTAAATCCATACTCTTTGGTTCTTTCGGTAAAGTCACGTAGGTGAAAATATTGAGAATAAAAATAAGAAATACAAATAACTAAATTAAATCACGACATTTCGGAAGCAACACAAGTTTCCGTCATCAGGTGGGACAACCACAGCAAGATCAAATCCACTGCTGGATGAGGGCCTTACCCTCACACACCCACTCACTTCATCTATCATCTGCTCACCTCAACCACCCACTCACTACCAAACAGTCTACCACCCGCTCCTTCACTCATCCACTCACTCACCCACTCACCTATCTAATCACTCACTCACCCACTCGCCATCTATTCACTCACTTACCCACTCACTCACCTACTCACCATCTATTCACTCACTTACCCACTCACTAACCTACTCACCCATCTATTCACTCACTCACCCATCTATTCACTTACTCACCCGCTTACCAATATATTCACTCACTCACCCACTCACTCACCCATCTATTCACTCACTCACCCACTCACTCACCCATCTATTCACTCACCCACTCACTCACTCACTCACCCACTGACTCATCCACTCACTCACCCATTCACTCACTCACTCACTCACCCACTCACTCACCCACTCACCCATCTATTCACTCACTCAGCCACTCACTCACCCACTCACCCATCTATTCACTCACTCACCCACTCACTCACCCACTCACCCATCTATCCACTCACTCACCCACTCACCCATCTATTCACTCACCCACTCACTCACTCACCCACTCACCCATCTATTCACTCACTCACCGACTCACTCACCCACTCACCCATCTACTCACTCACTCACCGCACAACAGTTCACAGCCGCTTCTCTTTTCTGCTTCGTACCTCCCGACGTCTCCTTTTGCCCAATTCAACAAACGCCTTCACGCGTATTGCATCTTCAACAGTGCCGACTGTTGCTGGCCCCCTCGGCGTTGAGCACCTCCGGGCCTGTGCTCGGCAATTTGTCATCATGGTGAAGAAATAAATAGAAGGTCAACACCCTTTTGTTCGTCCGCCGATGCCAACACTCGCTCGTGACACCTCCGATCTGTTGGCGATCAAAGAAATATTTATTTGGCAAGACTCCACAAGCAATTCCTGGCGCATCGATTGCAATCCCGAGGGGGGTGGTGGGTGATGGGGGAGGGGTAGTGGGGGTGTGGGGGTGGTGGGGGGGGTTGTGGGGTGGGTAGTGGGGGGGGGTGGGGGGGATGGTTGGGGGGGGTGGGGGGTGGTGGTGGGGGGTGGTCGAGGGGGTGTTAGGGGGGTGGTGGGGGGGGGGTGGGAGGTGGGAGGGAGGGTAGTAGGGGGGTACACAGCAACGGACACCTTCACCGCCCATGGGCAATTGGCCGTCACATCTTGCCGCTCGGCATCGGGCTCAATCGCCATGGCATTGCCGCCGTGTTTAGCCGCGTGCCCTCTCCGATGCCCCCCCCTCGCCCCGCCCCCCCCCCCCCCCCGAGTTTAATAACGCCCGCGTGGAACACAAGATCGATATCGCTAGGGGGAGGGGGTGGGCGAGATTTATAAAAAAAAATCGGTTGCCAACTCTGCTGCTGCTCATCGGCGAGGACATCGAGCTGCGTGCTGCGGTCCCCACGGCAGACGACGGTGATAGGACACGAGACAGGCGCTGCGGTTGACTAAGGAGATGTTGACCACCTCGCCTGTTATACAGGAGGTCGTGGGTTCGATCACGACCCTGACCCCTGCTGTATGTTTGGAGTTTGCGTGTATTTTTTGTATTAACTATCACGAGTGATTCGCCATCAGGAATCGATAGAGTTTTTTTTGTTTTGCTGCTCATCTCCCTTGAAAGGGAGAATCTCCTCTGCACCGTTAACTACTCGCTCCCCCCCCCCTCCCCACTGAATCGACGACGGCCCTGACCCTGTGCCCTGACCCCGTGCCCTGACCCCGTGCTCTGACCCCGTGCCCTGACCCCGTGCCCTGACCCTGCGCCCTAACCCTGTGCCCTGACCCCGTGCCCTGACCCTGCGCCCTGACCCTGTGCCCTGACCCCATGCCCTGACCCCGTGCCCTGACCCCGTGCCCTGACCCTGCGCCCTGACCCCGTGCCCTGACCCTGCGCCCTGACCCCGTGCCCTGACCCCGTGACCTGACCCCATGCCCTGACCCCATGCCCTGACCCCGTGCCCTGACCCCATACCCTGACCCCGTGCCCTGACCCTGCGCCCCGCTCGGTGGCCGCCCCGCAGGTCCACGCCATGCAGTGGGCGGGCGGCTCGCAGGAGATCCCCGTGTCGGTCTGCTCGCTGCCCTGCTTCCCCGGCGAGCGCAAGAAGGGCGTCAAGGGCGTGCCCTGCTGCTGGCACTGCGAGCAGTGCGAGGGCTACCAGTTTCAGCTGGACGAGTTCAACTGCCAGCTGTGCCCCTACGACCGGCGCCCCAACGAGAATCGCACGGGCTGCCGCGACATCCCCATCGTCAAGCTCGAGTGGCACTCCCCGTGGGCCATCATCCCCGTGTTCTTCGCCATCCTCGGCATCGTCGCCACGACCTTCATCTTCGGCACGTTCGTGCGCTTCAACGACACGCCCATCGTGCGCGCGTCGGGGCGCGAGCTCAGCTACGTGCTGCTCACGGGAATCTTCCTCTGCTACGCGATCACCTTCCTGATGATCGCCACGCCCGGCGTGGTGCTCTGCTCATTCCGCCGCCTCTTCCTCGGCCTGGGCATGTGCATCAGCTACGCGGCGCTGCTCACCAAGACCAACCGCATCTACCGCATCTTCGAGCAGGGCAAGAAGGCGGTGACGCCGCCCAAGTTCATCAGCCCCACGTCCCAGCTCGTCCTCACGTGCAGCCTCATCTCGGTGCAGCTGCTCGGCGTGTTCGTGTGGTTCGGCGTCGACCCGCCGCACATCATCGTGGACTACCACGAGCAGCGCGCGCCCGACCCCGAGGACGCGCGCGGAGTCCTTAAGTGCGACATCTCCGACCTCTCCATGATCTGCTCGCTGGGATACAGCATCCTGCTCATGGTGACCTGCACCGTGTACGCCATCAAGACGCGCGGCGTGCCGGAGAACTTCAACGAGGCGAAGCCCATCGGCTTCACCATGTACACCACCTGCATCGTGTGGCTCGCCTTCATCCCCATCTTCTTTGGCACCGCGCAGTCCGCCGAGAAGGTGCCCACCCCCCGCCCCTTCTCCCCCCCCCCCCCCGCGTGCGTGTGCGCGTGTATGTGTCTGTGTGAGTGTGTGCTCGCTAACAGCACTTACCCCAACAGTCTGTTGTATACTGAGGATCTTTGTCTTTGCGTGTGCGTGTGTAGAATGGGGTGCGGTAGCATAGTGGTTAGCGCGCTGCGCTACAAACTCGGTGACCCGAGTTCGATTCCCGCTCACGGAACAACACCAGTGACGAATATCTGAACCGGTCCTGGGCGTCTCCTAGGTCGACTCAGCCTCAAATTAGTAGCTGGTGCGGCGTGTAGACATTGCCACTGGGGAAAAAGGTGGCTGGGCGTGGTGTTGGCCACCCAGCCCTCGTGTGCCGTGCCGGCCTTCATAGGTGCTCGCTAACAGCACTTGCCCCAACATTCTGTCAAGGCTATACTGAGGATCTTTGTCTTTGCGTGTGCGTGTGTAAAATAGGGTGCGGTAGCATAGTGGTTAGGGTGATGAGCTACAAAACTGGTGACCCGAGTTCGATTCCCGCTCACGTAACAACACCAGTGACGAATATCTGAACCGGTCCTGGGCGTCCACTAGGTCGACTCAGCGGTGTGTAGACATCGCCATTGGGGAAAAAACGTGGCCGGGCGTGATGCTGGCCACCCATTCCCCTCGTGTGCCGTGCCGGCCTTCATAGGTGCTCGCTAACAGCACTTACCCCAACAGTCTGTTAAGGCTATACGGGGGATTTTTGCATTGTGCGTGTTTGCATGTATGTTTTCATCTGCCAGTCATCTCAGTCAACCCATAACACCTGGGGCTGTCCCTTGACCTGCCAACAGCAAGCCTTCTACACTTCACGCGGCCTCAATGTGCACCTAGCTTGGCACAAGCAGCCATGGTAACATCACCGCCACTTAGTGAATGGCGGCTATTGTTATTGCACGGTGTGTGGCCCTCTCCTAGATCTACTCAGACTAAAACGAATACCTAGTGTGGCGTATAAACATCTGCACTGGGGAGACAAAGGTGGTCAGGCGTGGTGCTAGCCACACCACCTCCTCGTGTACCTTGCTGGCCTTAATAGGTCCTCGCTAACAGCACTTGGCCAACAGTTTGTTAAACACTACACAGGGTGGCCCAAACTTCATGACAAATTGGATTATTTCATTTATTTTTTACACTGGAATTAAAACATATCCATTGTTTAACCCTTAACTTAACACTTTATCTGTCATCATTATCAATATTTGTTCTTTTTCTCCTTCCTGGAGGGGTCACTTCAAATTTGTCGTATACAAAACTCAAAGATAACACCTGTAATCTTTAAAAAAAAGTCTTTAATTCATTTTAAAAGAATCCATGCAGCATGCATGATTGTTAATGGGAGCCAATTTGAACATTTGTTAAAACGAATGAAATAATCCTTTGTGAATTGTTAAAATAAATATAATAATCCTATTTTTTTCAACTTTTATGAGCCACATAGCATGAGATCTTTGACTTTGTGTGTGTAAGTCAATGGGTCTCTGTGTGAATGTTTCTCCATATGAGCCTCGAAGTATCTACGTGAATCTGTCGGTCTCTATGCGTTATGAGTCCATGCATTGCTAAGTGAGTCTCTGGATCTCTAAGCGAGCAAATGATGTAGCCACTACGTTTCGCTGGTGATTACAACCAGCTTCATCAGGCGATGTGCAAGAATTGTGTGCGTGCAAACCTCGCTCATCGGCTGTGTCGGGTGGTGGTGGGTTAACGACACGTTTATATATTTACGCGATCTAACCTCAAACGAATATCTATTAGGGGCCGTTTATAAATGACGTCACGCACCTAGGGGGGGGTCAGACATTTGTGACGATGTGTGACGAGGGGGGGGGGGTTTGAGAAATGTGACGTCACATCAAAATGCGCAACTTTAAATAAATATAGACAACACGTTCTACTTAATTAAATAGACGTTTTAATAAATGTTTTCTCCTACAACATCAGAGTGCAGCGCCACATAAAATACGCACTACAATGACAATAATTTAAAGCGATTTGAAGCATGTTTTTTTGAGGGGGGGAGGGCAGATCTTTGTGACGTCATATTTGAGGGGGGAGGGTCTGACTTTTTGTGACGCCGTGTGACGAGGGGGGGAGGGGTCAAAAATCGTCCAAAATCACGTGACGTCATTTATGGACGGCCCCTTATGAATAATAAAGGTCGCGCGAAAGCCGACTTTGTGGACTGATTGAAGCCACTGCCATCACATTCCAGTTACTCAAAAAATCCACCTGCACGCACTGGGCTGCCTCCAAAACCCGGACCTGTGAGCCACCTGGGCTATTAGGATCAACGTGTTCCAATTCCAACTCCTTACGAAGTCACGTGGCTCCTGCAGCCACAAGATGCCGCTACAGTCGCAGCTTTATTTAAAGGATACAAAACAACACGTATGCGTAGTCTGTGATCAAAACCTTGACTCGGAAATCGTGACAATTCATGGAACCGCCGGGTGGTTGGTGAGGTAGATAGTCGAACTTTCACACTTCTACAGTTCGTTTAAGGCCGCGCAAGCGAGCGCTTGTTTTTTATATTCTTAGGGTTTTTTCGGTAAAGTCACGTAGGTAAAAAATTAAAATTAATAAAAGTAAAATAAAAAATAAAATAAAATCACAAAATCATATTTTATTATTTATATTTATTTTTACCTACGTGATTTTACCGAAAAAACCTAAGAATATGAATCTTTGCAGTCACGAAAGCTTCAAATCTAGAACGGTTGTTTTTTTGTTTTTTTTATTTTTGCCGATATATAAATATATATTTTATCAGGTAAGGTCCCACTGAGCTATGTCGCTCTTTTTCGGAAACGACCTGGTCACAAACGACAGCTCAAAAAAGTGGCGTATCATCACGTGGATATTTTTTTTTTGCAGCCATATACTCCGAACGCGTGTTGTTGATTCTAAATGTGGAGGGGAAAAACCGGAGGACCCGAAAAAAAATCCAGGACAACTCCAAATGTACAGCAGGTGTCAGGGTCGGGATCGAACCCACGACCTCCTGTATACCAGTCGTGGTGGTTAACATCTCACCACCGTGGTGCCCTACACACACACCAGGACAACACACGGGAAGATAACAAAATAATTTATTTTTTAAAATACTTTTTTTTAACTCGCTTTAATGAAATGTACCGTACTAGTAATGGCAGAACTCCACGACTCCAGAAAGCAGAGGTGTGGACTCGAGTCATGTGACTTGGACTCGAGTCAGACTCGAGTCATGAATTTGATGACTTCAGACTCGACTTGGACTTGCATAACAATGACTTTGTCCCACCTCTGCCAGAAAGTGACCCCGAAGCTTGCCACAGCGTAAGGGACCGTGGCTAATTACAGCCAACGTTAGTTGAGCGTGGACAATTAGACCCAAGCCGAAACATAACATATAAAAAATAATGTTTAAAAATACTTATTTTATATTTTATGATAGAATATAGTATTGTCATCAGTATGACATAAGTATACCAAGTTTGCAGTCGATACCACATTGGGAAGTGGGTTAAAATTGAGTTACAAGATTTGAGAATACGACAACGACGACAACAGACAGTGAGTTAACTAAAAGCGTGTAAAAAATAAAAATAAAACACCCCATCGCCTCTCCCTGCTGTAGCCTCTCGCAGGCTGTTTGGCAAGTGCTGTTTATTCCGGTTCTAATATGCACCGCACCTTCGTACTCACTGCATTGTTGAGTCAGGACCAGTTCAGATTTTCGCCACCGATTGTTATTTCTCGTGACCAGGGACTCAAAATGCGAACCGACCACTGCCACACCGCTCCTTCCGAACTGATTTAATTTTGTGCGCAACGCACGCGCACCCACGGACGCGCGCGCTGTTCACGCGCTCACGTGACATCACCACCACTCCCCCACTCCCACCCCCGTCCCTGGTTCTCCCCCCCCACCCGCCTGCCTGCCCCCCCCCCCAGGCAAGCGAAGCCGGTGACGAGAGTTCATTAAACACCTCTGGCGCCGCTCGCAGACACTGCCGCACGCGAGCGTAATTTGCTTGTCAGACTTCCCTCCGTGGGTGTGCCGCGCACATCAGGCGCGGAGGGAGAGACACGGACACGCTGGGTGGACACGGCCGGCCCTTGCCTGGCCACGTCCACCCAGCGTGGCTTGTCTCTCCGGCCTGCCTAGCCAGGAATTCAATGAACGTCAGCTACCAGAAACTCACTTAATAGCTGACAACAACAATAACAACAACAAAACTAGATTTGGTGAATTGGAACAGCATTGAATTACAGGGAACCGGGGGCCAGCGCGTGCGTTATTAGATGGAACCTGACTGATTGTTCGGTGGTAGGGTAGTTCACATTTCTAAGTAGTAGTAATACTAAACCAACCGTAGATGTCAATCAAATTGAATAATTGGACCGCGGCGCGTTCATAATTGAAAACTGTTCGCTGGTACTTTTATGCGTGGTTGTTGTTGTTGTTGTGGTTGTTGTTGTTGCTTTAGTTCATGACGCGGGTGGGTTTTTTTTTTTTAAACCGCGACTTGAGAGGTTGCACGGTCTTAGTCCCGGTCAGGAGATTTTCTTCCCTAGGACCGTGCAGTCGAGAGAATTGGTGGATTATACGGTGAGCTGTCTGGCTTCGTCCGCTCGTCATCATCATCATTGTTGGCATCGTTATCACCCCCAGCTGTGTTCAGACGCCATGCTCCAGGTCTAACCATTCCCCTTCATGCCTCCTTTCACATATACATCGGTTCCTTCGAATAAGACCACCCATAGTTCATCGGTGGTCTTATTTCATCTTAAATTTGAGTGGATTGTTTGAGCGTCATCGCCCTCGTATGGTGTGGGTTTTCTCCAATTACTCTGACTTTCTTCTGCAAGCCAAACACCAAGCCATGGACATTGACCAAACATCCAAGTGCAGTAGGACACATTCGGAGAGACAATCTTAAGGTTCGGTGAGGCTTTCCTGGATAAGTGCATGGTATTTT